ATATAGCACTGCCGTCACACTTGGTAACAGTTTTAGTTCTGAGGCTTTCCTTCAACTTTACACATCCTGGATTTTAGTCTACAATTTATAAAGATGTAGGAAGAGAGGAAGGTTCATGGCCTGAAATGAACCACTGACTCAAAAACTGCATTTTTTTTTCTCTATATGATTATGCACACATTGTCAATGTGTGCACTTTATTTCTTAGCCATCTAAACCATCACTCATCATATTTTCTCTTAAATTAGTCCTGTTGTCTGGGGACTGTCTGGTGACTGCAGTCGCAAAGTTGTCAGTGACAGCACGACTCAACATTTTGCTGTTCTTCCTGACTGTGTTCCCTGCTGTGCAACTTTATGACAATAACTCTTCCACTGGCTAAAAATTATATTCAGCATGCACCAGAGGAGTCACTCCTGAATGTTATAACTCATCACCTGGAGAGCAAGAGAAACACAGTAAAACTGAAACTATTCAGTGTTAGTATGAAAATCAAAGAACACATTGTTAATAATCCTGTAGAGATTTTTTCTTTCTTTTACAATTTCACTTCTTGTAAAGGCGTCCCACAGGTAAGGAAGTTTGGAAATTGTTAATCCTGTCTCTACTCTTAATATTTATATTTATTTATATTTTATTGATTTCCCTCCCTAAAAATCAAACAAACTGCGTTTTAAAGTCTGTAGACTATGAACAGTTTCTGTTAAATCAATAGTTCAAATCTTTTTACATGAATGGTGACGTTAAAACTTTACGAACAGTGAATATTTTGCTTGATGCAGATAGCTCTTGGAGCTACCTCAGTTTGGAAAAATAAAGTGTAAGTCTGACCAGATTGACACATTAATATCTGGTCCAAGCAAGACTGGGACCAAAAGTGAGCACTGCCATGTTAAATCCACTCCAGTGTAAAAAATTAATAGCTAACAATGCTTGTAAACATTATTTTATTACTGAAGAAGTATTTTGGATGAAAGACCAAACGTTTCTACAATTATTTTGATTTTTGAATCCATCCAAAGGACCTGACTTAACTTTTTTTTTAGATTTTTCTTCCTGGATTATTGAGCATGCACCAAGACTATTTTATTACATTTTTCATTACCATCAGTTTTGCAATACATGATTATTTAGCAAATAGCAGCAGTAGCTAGCTGCTGAACTTCCATTGCAGACTCAGGCACTTCATGCAGAAATATTTCTGCTGGAAAACATTCGTAATGCAAAAAAATGATTGTGGTGTAAAGTGGTGTTAAGTAATAAAATATATTAAACATTTTTATGAACTGTGTTTGACTCCAAAATGCCTTTTTCAGAAAACAATAAGTCAAGATATTTACACAAAATCATTTATTTACACATTCTTGTTCATACATTTATAACAAATGTCTTACAGTACACAATTTACACAACTAATTCAGAAGCAAAGTATTAAGCATTACCATGCAATAACTATGCAAAACCAAGTATCATTAGGATTTTTCATTTTTATCACAGGTTGTTTTCTGCGGCAGAGTGAAAAGTATACAATACTCCTCCCTTATTCAAGAAAGTTCAATATTTTTGATGAACTTGGAAGTTTAAAGAAATAAATATTGCATTGTCATTAAAATTAATTGCTGTAATATGTATTATAAGTTGAAATTATGTTTAACTTTAATAACACAGAAAACATTTTCAAGTCATTATAACAAATGTTGTAGGGGTTCTTTGCTCTCCTTTAAAATCCATTCAGAGAGAGAGAGAGAGAAAAGCAAGCTCTTCCAGTCATTTAAGCTCTTCTGATTTCTTTATCAGAGCTGCAAATGTCCATGTTCGACCACATTTTGAGTTCAGGAGTCTCAAAGAGCCAAAGACGACATATTCTGTTTTTTTCTTTCCACAAATACAGTACTAGGTGATTAAATCTATCAGCAAATAATCATACTTTTCTTTCCTCCTAAGCCTTTAGTTAAACATTTCCGTTATTTGCTCTACATCTGCTGGGTCACCTCAGCTGACCTCAAACTCCGTTGCTATTTTAAAGGACTTATCATTTTCTACACCTGGATTCAATTATCGTTTTTCCTGCTGGGTGAATTTTGCATCTCCAGCTGGGAGATTTGGGTTTTTATCTAAAGATCCTAGCAGCTCACAGCTCACATGCCTGTAATTACAAAGGTCACTTCTAATGGTCAAGTTACCACAGACGGTCAGGTCACACTGTCTGCTGCTGTAAAAGAAAAAAATCCAAATTGCTCCCAACAACATTTGTAGGGTTATAAGCCACTATATATCCCATTTTTAAAACACATTTTTAATAAATGTGTTGCACATTATCTGTAAACAAATTAACTGAGCTAAAAGGAACCTAAAATCCACAACTGTCTGGTGTCCTGGGAACACTTTGACGTAAACATGTTTGACAAAATACGCTTGGGCCCAGTTTCTTGTTAATTACAAACTTAACGTTAGTTGCCTGGAAATGAAGGTTTGTTAAAAGATCAAACTTTTTCAATAGTCCTCAGGAGAATGTGAAATTTGTTTTCTAATTGACAACCTCAGCTTTCTCAAAGGACTGCGGTGCTCGTTTGGATGTGGATGTAGATTAGTTCTGATTGAATGGCTTGAGCTTGAAAGTCTTGATCCCATGAGCGTGCAAGAGCCCAGGTCACAGATAAACAAGTGCAGAGCTTCTTTTTTTCCAAGTGAACTTTAAGCTTGTTAATGGTTTTATGTCCAACATCATCACAGTCAACATCTTAAAACTTGCAAAAGTTTATCATTATTTATTTAATTACTGACTGGACAAAATTCATGGCAACATGTCTGCTAACGCGTTCTTTCTTTCTTTTTTTAAAAATTATTTAGTATGTTTCATTAATGAAAGTAATTGTCTGTTAAGACTCTTACAAACTTTGACGCTAGGAAAATAACTGAGGCGTACAAGCTTTAAAATCAGACAGCAAACATAATCCTGGACCTTGAATGGGCCTCTTCCTGGGAAAAAGAAAATCTGACAAAAATATTATTTCAATTATATTTTGTTTGATGATGTGCTTATATGGCATGTTCAGGAGAAATGGAATATTTTGCCTTAACTCAAAATCACATATTTTTATTTTAGACAGCCTGCTACCAGTCATCCATACTAGTCTTAGTAACAATTGTGGTCTTGTACGAATACAACAAATTTGGCAGAATCACAGCTGGCAAGTATGGCAGTTTAATAAAAAAATAAACAGTAAAATTATATTTTTTTCTTTGTGTGGAATGCCTTATCATATTGTTTTGAGAAAGCATCTTTTTGGTAATTCCCCATTTTGTTTGGCTTTTATGTATGTGAATGTTCCTGTAAAGTGCCCTGAGACAACTTTGCTGTGATTTGGCGCTATATAAATAAACTGAATTGAAAACTGAATTGAATTGTTAAAGCAGGCATAGTGGCTGCACAATGGTTGCAAACAGCAAGAACCAACCTCTTGATTTCTTTCTTGTTTCGAAAGTATGAGCTCATTGGGCCACAGTGGTTTTTCAGTTTACCATGGTAATTAGAGTAATTGAAGGTCTGGGTAAACCTCAAACATTGAGAGATGCCAGCCAAGTAGAATCCCACAAATAAGCCAAATAAAAGCTTTGATGTCAACTACTCATTGTCAATCATTCACAAAAATAGAAGAGACTTATTAAAAAAAAAAAAAAACAATCAGCAAGTTCCAAAAAGTCAAATGGTCTTTGCTTTTTATGTGAAAATAAAGCATTTTATACACTATATCCTTCAAGTTTCTACTCATCTGATAATCATCAATCATGAATGATGATTTTGCCTGAATATTTATCTCAGTTTTGTCACGTTTTTGGTTAAAAAATAAGTCATACTACTTAACAGACAAGTTTGCTCTCTAGATTTAATTTCACAAATTACCGCTGAATTAAAAAAATCACTATGAATAGACAACGAAAATAAAAACCATTCTGATTTTGCTGTCAGTGTATAAATGGATCAAATGTTCTTTTCAAACCTGTGCGCCTCTATTGGCGCTGCTGTGCTCGCATGGATGCTCTTCTTCTGGTTGTAGAACTAACTCTGCGACTCTGGCTCCTTGCTTGCTGCTCTGAAGGATAAGCCACAACCTGGGTAGAAGATCTCTGCACCTGCACACCCCCCTGTTCTCTCATGTCCCTCGCCATCTGAGAAAGTGTCTGACCTGGGTTTGTTTGCAGACGCTGAAAGAGGCTTTCTCTGTTTATCTTCCTTTCTGGACAAAGGAAGGTCACTGCCACTCCATAGTCGGACTTCATCTCTCTGGAGAAACCATCTGATGTTCCATCAAAGCAGCGCCCAATGGCAATTTCTTTGGCCACTCTGGGGTTTTGGTCTGTGACTGTGTAGATGCCATAGTTGTGTCCTAAAGGATCAACAGGTGCTAACATGGTGAGAGCATGTGACTCATTATTATGAGCAATTGGTGGATGTTTGATGAGATACTCCTGTAGAAGGCCATTGGTACTAATCCTGCGACAGTTGCCCTGTGGAATCAGTGATATGAGAGATCTGTCCACCTCTGCCTGATCAAACAACATGCCACTACATTTGAACTCCACACAGGCAGCTGAGGTGTTGGCCTCTCGCATGTCACGGGTACTACGAATGTCTCTAATACCATATAGTTTGCCTCTTGTCTCTGGATGTGTTCCTCCCAGGTTTCTTGACCGAACCATCAGTTCTTTTTGGCCATGAATTTTGACCTTGATGTAACATGCTCTGAATTCCTGGGGGTTAGGCCACCAGGAAAGGTAGTCTCTTGTCCATGTTGTCAAGTCATTTTCCTCAAAGGGAACAACATTGTATTCATACTTGTCCTTTTCTACTCTGAAAAATCTAAAATGATTAGCATCCACAGGGGCATTTTCACAGCCTAATAAATTTTGATATGGATATATTGGTCCATTAGTTTCATCAAAATTGTTTTGATTAGGCTTTGCCAAGTTAATTCTGAAAGCATTTTTCTTCAGAGCTGGATCGTCATGATCACACCGTTGATAATCTAGCTTGTCTAGGTAGGGTTGAGCCACACCAATGACATTTGGATTCATCTTGGGGGAGGAAGGAGCTGCATCCAGCTCCTCTCCACCAAGCATTGCTGTAACATAAGCAGTGTAAGCATCAGGTCTCACGGCATCGCAGAAGGCTGGCAAACACGCTCCATTGGGCCCAGTTAAGACACTGTCAAAGCGGCCCCATGCCCTGGGATTTGATGAATAACCAGGTTTGGGCTCCAAGTTAATCAAGCTGATTACAACACCCTCGAGCTGTTCAGACGGTAGGAATTTATCGCTCATGTAGGCACGCACTTTAACATAACAGCGCCGGTTTTCAGGCACATCTAAATTAAACAATCTACGTTCTCTGATCTCCATATTGCCTATCAGAAATGTGCGGTCCTCACGTTTGCTTCGTCCATGACCACTAGTGGGGGTTTTGCTGTGGGAAAATTTACTCTCCTCTTCCCAGACACCTGTCTCTGGGTTTAAAGACCACAGCTTCATTTCGGGAATATGCTCTTGCATTTTAACATGCTGTGTGTCAAGGAGGACTTGGACTGCCCCAGCTCCAAGTACTTCCTTGTTTGTCTCATCTCTAAAGTCAACAGAAAACATGCCATAGGTCCGTAAAGGAAGCATGTCACCCTCGTCATTCACAAAGTTGAGGTCACCAGGGGCTGCAGCTGCTGTAGTGATGTTTCTTGGATCAATGAATGTGACACTGGCTTTCACAGTCCCCTCATAGATCTCACCGCTGTCTTTATGGAAGGAATTGGGTGGAATAACCAACTGCCCTATTGGATCTTCACCTTTAATTTCTCCCAAGTCAATAAAATTGGTTTCTCCTGCATTGATATCAATTGGCAGCTGCTTTTTCATCACTTTTACATCATGATAAATCGAGCCACTTTTCTTGTCAAAAATGAACACCTTTGGAGTGTCAATAAACTTCTGAGTGGGGTCAACAAAATTTATCACTAATCTTTGAGTGTCTGGAGTAATTTGCAACGTGAACCCTCCTTGGTATCCAGTGGTGCCCACTCTTTCTTTACCAATGTAGATGTGCCCGAAACGTAAAGGCTCATCATTGTCAGCTGAGACAACTCTGCCACGAACCAGCACAGTGGGCTGCACACAGTTCTGACAACCGCACTGCGTCACAGCTCTGATAGGGAGCTTGTAGTTCCCACAATCAATGACTTTACTCTCCATCTTCTGGACCCCGCAGCAGAATCCAGCTCCATCTCTGCAGCGCATGTCAAAGTCAAGGGAACCAGCACATTTGTTGTGAGGGCAGCGGCCAGCATTGTAATACTTGGAGGCAGTTCCGGGTTGAACGCAGTCCATTGGTAGTCTGATGAGGTGTGATTCAGGGGTAGAATTGCATGCTGGGGTTCCTTTAGCTGTGTAAAAAAAAATACTTTACGTTACTGATATGAAAACATGTACCAACAAATTAAATTATTCTGATGCACTTATTTAGATTTGGGAAAAATGCTTGCACTTGCTATAATTGCTTCATTTTTAAGTTGTGGTTTCTCTAAAAGAATTACAACAAAGCAACTACATTTCTAATCAGTAGTAGAAGATGTTTAGCTTCCCATCCGAGGAGGTTTCTAGAGAATAAATACAACGTAGCTCTCCAGCTCAAACGTGGCAACAAAAGCTTTTCTGACAGAGAGAGAGAAATAACAGAAGTTATTTTGAGTTTCATCTCAGCTCTGGACGCTGTGGAGATATTAAGTTTGAGGTTTTACAGCATCCAAAGTTGTTGTACACAGTAAAAAATTAAACCTTCTTTTGAAAGCTGTAGTTTCAACTAATATAAACATAATAAAATTCATTCGCCTTAGGTCCAACCAGATGGCCCTGAAGTTTTTATTTTTCTTTACTTTTGCTCCCCAAAGTCAGTGTAAAAACTGGTTTTTCCCTTTCCTTAAGTTGCAGGATGGTGTGGTTTTGTTGGCTTCTTCCTAATGCATGAACATGACTCATGAATGACTTGGTTGGAATTCACACTGGCATTAAGTCCTCTTAATGTGCACTCCGTCTCTGCAGCCAGAGCTTTTTATTTGCGGTTGTTTGGTTTTTGTCAGTGGTTTTACTTGAACCTGCAGCGGACTATATGCATCATTGTCAAATGTTCTGGGATAGAAGCCATTCTGAGCTTTAATCCCTTTGAGCTGCTCTTCATCATCACAATATTTTCTACCAAGCCAAGTGAAAATGCATGTATTTTGTTAAGATTTGACCTTTTGACTTTAGAAAGAAAGTTTTACCTCAAAAGAAATCATGTATATTGTAATAAAAATATTCTGCTTTCTTGTGTGAAATCTGGGCAGCATTGTGGCACAGGTAGAGCTGTCGCCTCTAAGTGAGAAGGTTGCGGGGTTGAATCTTGGCCAGGGACTTTTCTGGTTAGATTTTGGATGTTTTCTCCGTGCATGCATGGCTTTTCTCCAGGTACTTTGGTTTCCTCCCACATGCTAGTCTAATTGGTAATCACAGGTGTCAAACTCCAGGCTTCGAGGGCCGGAGTCCTGCAACTTTTAGATCTGTCTCTGATGCCACACAGCTGAATCAAATAAGGAGGTCATAGCAGAACTTTGGAGAACTTAACTGCACTGAGAAGCTAATTCAGTCATATGATTCAGGTGTTTTGGACCATTGGAACATCTAAAAGTTGCAGGACACTGGCCCTCGAGGTCTGGAGTTTGACACCGAGTGAAAGTGTGAATGGTTGTTTGTCTCATTTGTTTCCATATGGCCCCGTGATGGACTTGCGACTTGTCCAGGGTGTCCCTGCTCCCACAATGACTGCTGGACATGGGCACCAACAACCCTCACGACCCGAAAAAGAAGAAGCTGATAAAGATGATAGATGAATATATGAAATCCTTTGGTGTACATACCAATCACAGTAAGGAGGGCTGGGGTGGACTTGATGCTGCCTGCAGGGCTACTGGCTTTGCAGTAGTATTCCCCTGAATCTTCTTGCTTTATATCCCGGAGAATAAGGTCCTCCTCGTACTTGTACAGCTTCCTGTCCAGCAGAGTCCCATTGTGGTACCTAGTTTCATTTTTGTAATGTAGGAAGGCAGGAAGAAGTCAACAAGTGCATCAAACTCATAAATACAATGGCATGTTTGAGCACCCATAATACTTAAATAATAAAATGTAATTTTTCATCATATCATTAGATATACAATTTGTTTCAAGATTTGCTCTTAAAATTTTAAAACATACACAATACAGGGTATTATAATGTTATTATTTTATTTTAATTTTAATTTTTACATATTTCATCATCATCATTCACTTTATTTCAGACACAATATAGTATATGGTCAATATAAAAAACAAAACTACTATTACTATTATTATCATTAATAACAATATATTATTAATATATTAATAAAAGTAATTAATAATTATTATATGAATATAATTATACTAGTTTAGTAGTGCTGTTCTTCTCACCAGTAGTATTTGTCAGGAGCTGGTGATCCTGTTGCTGTGCAGCACAATAACACCCGTCCTCCTTCGTAACGCACTTTGTCCTCTGGGTGTTTCACAATGTAGGGCTTTTCTGTGGGAAGCAAAGTGTAAATCTTATGGCCCTATCTCTGTTGTGAATATAGTGGGGTGAGTGTAAGCCTTAGATAAACTCGGTCGTACATGCACTTTATTCTCACATTGATTTTCTTAGGCATGAAAAGTGGCTGTTGAGGGATATACTTTTACTGAAATAGACCACCTGCAGTAATAAAATAATGAAATAAATGCAAGATTTAATGACTTTATCTATTAACACCCACCCGCTGATTTGAGAACAGCTCGCAACCAGGACGTCCCTGTAGCATTACTGGTTGTGGAGACGTTGACAGGAACAAACTTGTCCTTCCTGATGGTGATCAAACTCGAGCTGGAGGAGCAGACTCCCACAAGCCTGAACTGTCCTTTGCTGTCTGTACTTGCATGTATGACTTTAGGATGACTGGCCAGAGTTATACTGGCGCCCGCTATGGGGAATCCAGTGACACTTTGGACATCTCCATGCACCTCGTGGCCATCACAGACACAGATGCTGCAGTCCTCACTGGGACGGCCTTCCGTGCAAACATGCTGGCATTTTGCTGGTAGTCACAGTGACAGAGTGTCAATGAAAACATGAAATGAAAGAGTATAAAACAATTCCAAGGACAGTGGCACTTATTGTACCTGGGCATGGACTTTTTCCACACTTCTGGACTTCAACAGCTCGTCCTTTACAATGAACTGCTGCTGAGGTCCTCACGCAGGTCCTTTTTCTGGTTCGGCGACCTCCACCACAGGTTGCTGAACATGGCCCCCAGAGACCCCATGGATTCCATTTGGCTAATTGCATAAAATTACATAAGAAATGTATGATTATTGAGCATTTTAGCATTGTTTTTGTGAATAACCTTTAAACTGTAGATCAAATTGTCGACTCTGAACAATGGGGAATAATGTTAGAACAGAAATGCCTTGAGTGGTGAGAAAATAACAAACGAGCCTAAAACTGTTGTGTTTTATGCAAACAATCATATCCCTAAGAGAAATTTGTTATATACTCTGCTCTTGTATGTACAATTATTCCCAGGAATTTCAGCAATAAATGTTGAGAGTGTAAATCATTTTGCTTACTACAATTAATCATTTTAGTTTATAGATTTATTGCTATCATTGATCACCTGTGCATGGTGGGTTGGAGCACTCCCTCCTCTCTGAGTGGTGTCCTTGACATGCTGGCACAAACAGAAGAGGCATGGACTGAGCACTCACACATTTCCTTTGCCGAACCTGGACTCCCACATCATTACACATTGTAGTTGAACAGGGTCCCCACTCACTCCAGTCAGTCCAATAACTCTGCACTGCACACATATGAGAGAAAAAATGATCTTGTGTTGAAAGTTGGAATCATGTACCACTCTTTTACACAGTATGTAGTTGTATGACACCTTGTACAGTCCTCCTGTCATCAGAACTACCTGGGGGACACTGAAAGCGAACATGGTAGTTGGAACAGATGCGGCCATGCAGCTGTTCTTTGTTGATACACCAGAAGCCCTTCTCCAAACTGGAGTGGACCACTTCGCCAGTGTCTGCAGCTGACACCCAGTCTGTGGTGCGAGCCTCCATGGCTGTAGGTCGTGTACAAACTCTCTCTCTATAGTAGAAACGAATCGCCTCCAGGCGCTCATAATCCCCATTTCCACCAGGATGGTCAATGTTGAACCAGGATGTCCACTCAGTCACTCCTAAGGGCATACAGAAAGAAGGCAAGGGCAAAATAAAAATTAAAAAAAAAAAAAAAAAAGTGAGAATTGCCTATAAAGATGTAGGAAACCATCAGTTTGGCTGTAGCACATAGTCCATTTTTATTCTGTGGCATATAGAAAAAGTTGACCAATTTCTCAAGGAAAACAAGATAATTTAAACTAAAGAAATTATTCATAAATTTGATCATCACAAGTTGCTTAATGTACAATTCTCATCCCTTTCCATTTATTTCTAGCTAGGTCTTAAAAAAGGTATTGTGTATTCATTTTGTTGATTTCTTACTGACCACAATTAGGGTTTTGAGTTGTTGTTTGAATTCTTGGTTGTTCAGCCATTTTTTGTGAAGTGTGCATTCTGTATTTTTAGTTGCCCCCTGTTGTGGAGCGAAGAAGGGGAATAGGACATATCATTTGTTCATTCGTCTGGGCACGTTGTGAGCATGATAACTTGAAAAATAAGAGAGGTACCAAGTAGTTTTCTCCAATGAATGGGTAAAAAAAGGCAATGTGCCAACTCCCATTTTGGTATGTGTCTGCATCTAGGCATAAGAAAGCTCACTATTGAAACATGGGCTGTCATGTCAAAATCCAAGATGTCCACCACTGAATATGTGAACTGTCCACACCCATCCATCCATCAAATCCATCAAATCCATCCATCCATCCATCAAATCCATCCATCCATCCATCCACCTATCCATCCATCCACCTATCCATCCATCCAATCTGCCCATCCGTCCATCAATCTATCCCTGCATCCATCCAATCCATCCATT